CAACCCCCCCCCCCCCCCCCCCTCCATATCTCCATGTCACCCCTGTCAGTGCGGCCCTCAGCCACGCTACGTACTTTCTGGAAGCTGACACTCAATTAACCCCCCCCCCTCCCACAGGTCTGGATGTGTGGCGGCCGAATGGAGGACATTCCGTGCTCCCGGGTCGGCCACATCTACAGGAAGTACGTCCCGTACAAGGTCCCGGGCGGCGTCAGTCTGGCCAGGGTGAGTCCGGCGTCCCCCCCCGTCTCTCTGTCCTCCGCAACTTTCGGGGCTCCTGATTAATCGCCGGAAACTCAACGGTAACATTGCCCACGGCTTTTCTCTCTTAAAACTTTAAACCGTCCGCCATATCCGGCCTCGAACGGCGAGCTGTTTCTCTCCGATCTGGAGCCAGTGGACTCCGAACTTCGGCATGTGTGAGCGCTGAGCTGCTGTCCCACCGGGCCACAACTGGGACTCCAGTGAAACCAGTTTCCCGGCTGCGAATAAAGTTCTGGTTACTCCTTGACAGACCGAGAAGCATTTAAACCAACTCTGGCTGAAATATGCGGCCATGCGGTCGGGTCTCCCTACGCTGGCAAGTTCGCCGTCCTGATTTGTCCTTGCGAGGTATCGATTTCCTTCTGGCTCGCGGCGCTCTGGATTAGTGACCCTGATTGGCGATGCAGCGTATCAATTCATCATTACCGTATAATACAGAAGCTGCTTCCCACCTTCCCTGAGTTATCTCTTACCAAGACAACACACCCTGCATTCCTGCGTGGAAATTAAATGGCTTACATAAACCAATCCATGTCCGAGACCAGGTTTCATTTGGTTGAGGTCAGTGCTTATTTTTTTAATTAGTTCCGGTTGTTTTAATTTTCCATCTCGGATTATTTAGAGCATTGACTTAATTAATTGTGAAACCTTTGCAGATGGCATAAGGCCGTGGGCTTTAGCTTAAGGTTTTAGCTGTGGGTAAGTCTTCAATCGGGGGGGCGGCGTTCCCAAATCCCAAGTCTCGGACAGCCGGCCTTGACGACGGCGGGAGCACGGTGCAGCTGCCAGGCTGGGATCCTTGAAGGAGATACTGACCTTGGGCCGGAGACAGGAAGCCGTGTAGGGTCGATGTGTTTGTCAGGTCCTCTACTGCCCATCATTTCCTGAGTGGTCACCAGGGGCGGAGCCACAGGGGCACCGGCCCCAGTTGAACGCTGATTGGCCTCCGGAGTGCCCCCTCCCCTGTCACTCAGCGATTCAAAGCATTTGATTGGCTAATCTTAGACAAGTCGCTATTCCCCCCCCCCCTGAGGGCAGTGGTGAGTCTAACCAGCCCGTTTGTCAGAGATGGCGGGGGGGGGGGGGGGGGGGGGGGGGGGGGTCCTTGAGGCAGGCCCTTCTGACAGGAGTGATGCCGATGTTGCAGAACCTGAAGCGTGTGGCGGAGGTGTGGATGGACGAGTACGCCGAGTACATCTACCAGCGGCGGCCCGAGTACCGGCACCTGTCCGCCGGGGACGTAGCGTCGCAGAAGGAGCTGCGGAGCAGTCTGGGCTGCAAGAGCTTCAAGTGGTTCATGGCGGAGGTGGCCTGGGACCTGCCCAAACACTACCCGCCAGTGGAGCCGCCTGCCGCTGCCTGGGGAGAGGTAGGCTTCCGGCCCCCACCCTCCTGGGCAGAGCTGGGGGGGGTGGGGCAGTTCATGCTGTACCCTAACCCTCCCACACTCTCCCCAACTTGCCGGAACTCTCCCCCGGAACACATCAGCCGTTTCAAAGGGAATTGTAAAAAGGAGAGAAAAAAAAAGATAACATTCTCAGTTCAGTTTGTCTAACAAAAATATTGGCCTGAATGCTAATGTACCCTTTCCTTAGTCGTACCCGCGTTGAGTCGTTAGTTTCGCCTTTCCTTTCCCCCCTGATTCGTAGAAGATTTTTTTCAGTTTCGAACAAGTGATACTGGCTGCATTTTAAGGAAACGACCTCTAGGGGGCGCCACATGCTTCTTTGAAACAGTACCCATCTTACAGTGGATATGTGGGTTTAATGCTCGCCATGCCCTGCATCGAGTGGACACACAGGGTGTGCGGCCGTCCACTCGGGTTAGGGGTCAGGGTCCCTGCTCGAACGTGATTGGGCGCTTCTCTTCCAGCTACGCAACTCGGGCGGCGGCCTGTGCGTCGAAAGCAAGCACTTCGCCTCGGGGTCGCCGATCCGTCTGGAGAAGTGCCAGAAGGGGCGGGGCGAGGCAGGCTGGAGCCACGGACAGGTGAGGGGTGAGGGGTGAGGGCGGGGCCCGTTATTTCCATTGACGGTGTCCCAGAATGTTCACTTAAACAATAAGTTAGGATTTCTCTCGTGTTGTAGATCATATAGCTGTAGCTGAATTTTTGCGTATGTTAAGTCGCACAGCACTGAGCAGGATAAGTGATTAGAGGGAGGATGGATGCATGCAAATTTGAAAGGCATTTAGTGTTGAGAGCTATAGTCCCTTTTCAGGGTAACC